CCGCCGGGGGGGCTGCCTCACCAGGGCCGGCATCCTCTCTGGTCCCGCCAGCGCGATCAGAAGCCGAGTCTGCAGATTGAGGCTTGTCTCCTCCCCAACAAAACGCAAACGCCGTCACAGACGGGGTGCAGGGAGGGGAGAAGCCCGCTTCCCCCCGGGAATTGCGCCTGCTCCAGGGCAGAACAGGAAGGAGTTAAATTCGTAGAGCGAGGGCGGCCCGTGTTCCAGCGACCTGCGCGCTTCGCCGGCCTTTACAGCCGAGAGCAGGCCTGGCACTACCCAGCCGCAGGGAGAGGAGCTGGGCGTTGCGGGAGGTGTGTGTGTGGGGGGGGGGGGGGTGGGGGGGGGGGGGGGGCCTGGGTCCCGGAGTGGAATCTGTGTTCGAATCCCTGCTCCGCCCCTCGCTGGCTGTGTGACCTGGGAGAATCATGTCCTCTCTGGACCACAGTCATCTCCCTGGGGAAACATCTCCTGGGGGGTTGAGGAGGCCGCTTGTGCGGGAACTCCTGCGGGCGCGGTGGGTGGAGACTCAGCGTGATGGATCCGCAAAGGACCGGGCCTGGGAACCCCCAGCCCACTCCGCCCTCGCTTGATCCACCAGCGATGGAGTTTGAAGGGCTGGGGTGGGGGAAAAGCCGTGCCCGGAGCCCCGCCGCCAATTCCCGCCAGACCCGACGGCAGGACCTTGCTGGGGGCCTCACCCCACACCAGCGCACCGCTCGGACCCAGACTACGCTGAGCACTTTCTGTGCGCACGCCCTGTCCAGAGAGGGAATTAAACAGAAGAGGGGGCAAGAAAGGGCTGAACGAGAAAAGAAATGAAAATGAGAAAACTAAGGGGCATAGAAGTGGAAGGAAACCCGGACCCCAGGCGGGCGATGGGGGCGGGGTGGACGGGGCGGGGTCCCTTCCATTCCTGCCGAGTCCCTGGGTGGGGGAAGGGGGAGCGCCAGCCTCGCCTGCAGCTACCGCCTCGCTGGAGCCGAGGCGCTTCTGCAGAGCGCGAGCCCTTGCTCATTATGCAATTATGTTGCTCTGACTTTGCCTGGACCCTAAATTGCCAAGTCCCGGCCGGAGGAGACACCGGAACGAACCCCGCTGTTCCCCTTTCCTACGCGCGTTGACAGCACACCGGCGCCACGAAAGCACCGTGAACTGAGAAAATTCAGATCCCCCGGGTATTCCCTGGGCACCCTCTGCACAGGGCTCGTGGACACTTTTCCAAAATTCGGGGATGGGGGGGTAGGGTGGAGATTCCCAGGCCCGTTTCGCAGATGAGAAAATGAAGGACCCATGAGATGGAGGGATCTTCTCTACCCCAAGTCAGGCAGTCGCAGGGCTGGGCTGAACCACACTGGCTTGTCTGACTTCAAGTTCAATGCTCTCCCCAGGAAAGCAGAATCGCCAGAAGGGGTCCAGAAAGGAACCCATAAGGTTTGTGGGGGCCAGGGTGGGTCCCCTGTGCATGGCCACTCGGGTTGCTTAATGTATATGGGGGGGGGGGGGAAATCAGCCCTCAACGTCTTTCAAGGGCTGCGTGGGCCTGGGAATCTGAAAACTTTTAAAGATGGGACTCCGTGCGCTTCTCTTGGGGACCAAGAGGCTCAGATTCGCGTTCTGGCCGCGCTTCTGGAAGCCCAGAGACCGGGCTCCCCCAGACCATCTTGGTGGCACGGACCCGCACTCCCCAGCAAGTTTGTTTTCTTCCCTTAAGGGGGGGGGGGCGGGGAGTTGTGGCAAGTTCAGACTGCAGACCGCGCCTCGAGAAGGGAATATTTGCTGAGCCACGGAGGCTGAGGGGCTGGAGACCCTGGGTACCGCGGAACCTGCCCAGCACGCGCCCAGGGTGCCTGCGAGAAACCCCGCGCTCTCTTGGGAGTTCCTAGGCGGACCTGCCTTCGGTCCCTGGGGCTGGAAATACCCAGCGCGCCCCAGACGGGGTTTCCACTCTGCGCAACGCTTTCTATCTGTGGAGACGTCCACCCTCCCCAAGCCCCAACGCCAGGTACTTCAGCTTTAACAACCATTCATCTGCTGGCTTCCCCTCTTAATAACGGCCCGCCTGGCTGCAATGGCGGCCCGGGCTGTCCTGCGTGGGTGCGGGTTGGAGGCGCCAGCCACTGCGGACCTGAGGCGGGGTGGCGGGAAGAGGCGTGTGCAGGTCTGGTGAGAATTAAGGCTGGGGGTCCCCCAACTCGAAAGGGAACAGAGCGGTGCCTGGAACATAGTAGGCTTTATTGACTAAGAGGGCAACGTCCTTGCAGAAATCCCCCCAGAAGGCTAAACTTGGCGCTCGCTCAAATGTGTCCTCCTGGAAGCCTGAAGTTAACCTTCTGTATTAAAAGAAAAACAGAGTTGGTGCGAGTTTGGAGGTAGGGCTCAGGCATAGAGGACACACAAAGGCGGGGAGCAGTTGCCCTGGGCTCTCAGTGTTGTTTTTTTCTAGGGGTCGGTCCGGGTCTTAATTGGGGGTGTGAAGGCGCTCACATCCTGGCAGCTTGAAATTAGTTCCACAAACCCTGCCTCGGCGGCTTAAAGCAGCAAAGCATTCCCTCCACCCCACCTGGCCGCCTGTGGGAAAGGCAGGGCTGCGGGGTGGGAATTGTCTGGATTAGCTGTCTGCAGGCATCAAACCATTTGGGTGATTCGCTTTGTTTTCGGAGACAGGTTAAAAGGGGGAGAAAAAAAGAAAGAGTCGGTTCTGGGTCGCCTGAACAAGTGTCGATTTCAGCTTAAAGTGAATTGGAAAATTGAGCCTAATTATCCCAGGTAATTGCTTCAATTCTCCACTTGACTTTGCTAATGCAGATCTGTCCTCCGTGTGCAGAAAGACAGCCCCTCCTGTCCCCGAAGAGCCTGTGGTCACCTCCGAAAGTTGCTGGCATAAAACCACCATCGCACGGAAAAGCAATCGTAGGTGGGAAGAGGTGGCAAGAAGTAGAACTCCAAGACGAAATCAGTGCCGAGATCCATTCTTGTAGCTTAAAATTAATTTATTTAACAAATATAGCTATAATATAAATGATAATAAAATTTCAAATATACAGTATATTACACCCAATCCCTTCCAAAGGGATTCTCGAGAGCCACACAAATGTACTGTTAAATAGAAAGAGAATTTTAAATTTTTATTTTACAATTTTTTTTCTGGTACTGGTAAGAGAGAGGTCCCTTCAACCTACCTTCGTAATGCATCTGTGTACACCCACCGCCCCCCCAACCCAAAGCTAACGCTTGGCTGCTCAGGCCAGAAGTGTTCCCACAGAAGGACCGGGATCCATATCTCCCGGCATGCTCTTCTCTCCCAGGATCCTCCGTTCCAACATCTTCAAACTTGAATTTCTCCGTGCTTTTCCTGCCTGGTATCAGGACAGGAGGCAGGGGTGCTGGAGAAGTGGCCTCTGGTCCTGACCCAACCGCTAACTCTGCTGGGGACCCGGTGGGTCAATGTCTTAACCTCTCTGGCCTCAGTTTCCCCATCTGTAACACGAGGGGGGTGGGTCTAGATTCTAGAACAACAGAAGGGACCCTTCCAGTCACATTTTTGGAAGAGGATCGGACTTCAGAGAGTGAAATCAGGGAGCGACCTAGGAGACACCAGAGCTGAGCGGGAGCTAAAGGAAGGAGCCAGGCGGTGCTGAACAGGGGAGCTCGCGGGGGACACCCCTGCTGCTTGCAGAAGGCTAGGGCTGGAGGAATCGGCTGGTGCCACGGGTGGGCGGCCCTGGGGCCCTCTATGTCAGGTGGTACATGCTGTAGCCTACATGCGCCGTGTAGAGTCCCACGGGCGCCACGGGCAGCGCGGCGCGCTGAAAGGGGCCCGAGGCGCCATAGAGTGAGGCGCCGGCTGCGGCTGCCACAGCCGCCGGGCCGCCCAGCGGGAAGGAGAGGCCAAAGGCGGCCGGTGGCAGCATGGGCTTCGCAGCCATCTTCAGCTTTTCCAGCTCTGCCTCCTGCAGTCTCTTGGCCTTGGCGCGGCGGTTCTGGAACCAGATCTTCACCTGCGTCTCGGTGAGGCTGAGCGAGCTGGAGAACTCGGCGCGCTCGGCGATGGACAGGTACTGCTTCTGTCGGAACTTGCGCTCCAGCGCCAGCAGCTGCGCGGTGGTGAAGGGCGTCCGCGGCTTGCGGTTGGTCTTGTGCTTGCGCAGGGTGCATGCTGGGGGGCTCAGGCGCCCTAGGAGGCCGAGAGAGAAAGAAGCAGGGGGTTAAGAGAGAGCGCGCGCGGGAGCGTCATCGGCCCCCTAAAAACTAGTTCATGATGGATAACAATGCCGTCTATTCATTTGGCCCTTGGAAAGTATTTTCTCCACTTCCCACCACCACCCAGAAGAGGAGACGTTCTTGTCTACTTTTTTCAAATGAAGAAACGTAAGAGTTCAGATGAAACATACCCAGGTTCAAGGCCCGAGCGTAAGTGGGGAGAAGTGACCGGCCCAATGCGGATGGCCGCGTTGGCGGGCCTGTCTCAGCCGGACCTTCTCCCACTGCTGGGCACATGGGGGCCATGGCTGTTACTAGGGCTGATGAGACACCCAGACTGAGGCCCTGCGCCCAGTCCAAGACCACACCTGGTATGCTGGCCGAACGCCGATCTGTGTCCACTGAGTGCTCGGCGCTCGGCTAGGCCACTGCGGCAGAATCCAGATCTCCAAATTCCAATCTTTAAAGTGAGTTCCTACCCGGCTCTAAGGGCAGTCCCCCACACCGCAGGTGGAGCAAGGCCCGGGGTCCCAAGATCACACCGAGGCCAAGTCCCGCAGTGTGGAGGGGGGTGGGAAAGAGACTGCATTCGAAGGGGGCTTCTTCTGATCCTATGATGATCTCAACTGTCTCTTGGCCCTCTCCCGCCCCCAGAGCCCTTGGCCCTCTGGTCACACTCAAATGTGAGGTCCCGTGGGAAGAGGTGTGTGCAACCGCTTCTGGCGTCTCCCGGACCTGCGGCTCAGTCCACAGACATCAAAAGTGCAGAACAATCTTTTTCTTATGACTTCAACGCGGACTTCAAGGACGGACATGAGCCAGCTGGGGACGGGGCCCACTGGTCAGGGCAGCCCCTGCCATGCCAGGCAGCTGTGCCCAAATAAAACGTGGAACACATTTCGCCTAGGACAACAGGCAACTTTAGGGTCCAGGCAGAGGCCCGCACCAAATTCCCAAGCCCGGGAAAGGACATGTTGCCTACGCAGCCGCTTCTCTCTGGGGGGGAAATGAATTCAAATCTGGAATGTTTCACCATGCGGGTTTTGCCTAATTATGCAATTTTTCAAGCCTTAAACAAATAAAAACAAATGATCCTTTGGGTCCTCAGACCACCAGGATGTGAGTCAAACGAAAATTCGGGTTAACAGTCCCTCCTTCTTTCCCCATCAAAGACACTGAGAGTCGGGGAAGCGGTTGGCCCCGGAGTCCATTTCCGCCAGGCCACCCGAGGGGCGGACATTCCTTTTGCCAGCGACAGCGCAGTGCTGGGCCACCTTCCCCGGCCATTAAGCCCGGGGAGGGGCTTGCCTTTCAAAGACGTTTAATCCCCAGATAAAAATCATTCCTCAGCATCGCGCCATTGAATTCGGGTTGCTATTATGCCGCGCAAAATAATCGGAGGAAACGAGGAAAACTTGGGAATTTCCCGTGCTCCTGAAATATCTTCGAGCTGGTTCGCTGGGCAGAGAAGCCGGGGGCCACCAGGCCTTGGCACAGCCGTCAAAGCGCCTTTGGGAGCGGAGTCCGCGGCAGTGGCCCTGGCAGAACCTCTGGGCGCTTCCAACCGGTTCAGAGGGGGCGCCTCCCACTAATTGACTGGGTGCCCCGCCCCCTCCACTGGACCTGAGCATCCCCCTCCCCCTAACCCCCCCAAAGTACCAAGAATCTGCCTGAAACTTGGAGGTGGAGGGAGGGGAATTTTGCAAGAGCTCCAGAACCTTCCGGCGAAGAGATACTTTCTTGGGGGGTGGCGGGGAGACACCAGGCTTCTACTATGAGAAAGTGAAACTCTGCGTGCAGGGAAGATGTCGGCGCCGCTGGGACCCACCCGCTGGGGTAACGGCGAGGTAGCAGGGCTTAGGATCGGACGGGGGAGCAGGGACTCCCCGGGGTGGTTTGGTGGGGGCAGGAGGACAGAGTGCTCGGACACCCGTGCCCAACAACTTAAATCCACCCGCACGGTCGCCTAGCCAAGGCCAGGAGCCCGCGAAAGTGGACCCAGCGCTCGGCCTTAGCCAGGGCTCGAACCATCTTCCTGGGTGGAAGTGGGAATGCGCAGACCCCGACCTCCTCACCATCGCAGACACAGAGCCGGCTCCAGGTACCCGCAGCAGGTATGCCAGCACCGGAGACACGCAGGCGCCGGCGCGCGGCCTGGCGCCCTCGGGCCCCGCATCCCCGCCCGCCCCCCTCCCCCGCTGCCTGCTGCAGGCTACTCACTGGCTGGGGGCGGGGAGAAGCGAGGGTTCTGCATCCACGGGGTCCTCTCGGACTTCTCGGGGCTCTCGGCTTTGACCAGCGCATCTTCTGGGAGCTTGAGGAGTCCTCCCACCGAGAAATGGCCGAGCG